AGAACTGTCGGCAGCTGGTGCAGTTTCTGAACCAATATGCCAGCCTGGATTACTGTGTGAATAATTAAGTGCAATTTTCTCCTTGGATGGGTATACGATTTTTAAATGTTACCAGCTCAGACTTTACCCGAGCTGTTGTCAGACTACTTTCTTGAGGATGTCTTCTATGGGTGTGTTCCTAGACCAGAGTGTGAGTGACAACGTCCGGGGATTCCAGGTTAAACTTATTTCACTTAATTCCAGAAACAAAAGGGAATTAAATGATTGCAGAATACCCATGACAGACCTTGTGTGGAGCAGTTTCAAAATCAGGAAAATTCATTGTCTACCAAGTAGTGGGGCCAATGAGTGTTGAGCCCAGTCTCTACTGTGAGTGCTTGGTTAAGTTTGGTAAGATAGCTTTAAGATGGTCCAGGTGAGAAAAGGTGAGGCTGGTAAGGAGACCTGAGGAACCAGGATGWGGGTCTTCCTTCCTTTTCCCATATGTCCCAGTCATCCACTTCACTTTAATCCCTTTATTGCAGTGTTCAGGTTATAATGACAGTAATCACCCTTATCACTACTTCCCCATCATCATTACCACTACTACTATCATTATTACAACCTCCACATTATATCACATTATCATTAAACACCACCATGACTATCATTATCATCTGTCATCATTGTTACCACAATCATCGCCACCACTATCATCATCACTACCATCATCATTAGCATGACTGTCATTGTCACCATCATTACCACCATCACCACCATCTTCACCATCATCACCACCATCTTCACCATCACCACCATTTTCACTATCATCATTACCATCTTCACCACTATCACCACCATCACAACTATCACCATAATCTTCACCACTATCACCACCATCACCACCATCACCACCATCATCTCCACAGTCTTCACCATCATCTTCACCATCTTCACCATCATCACCACCATCACCACCATCATCACCACCACCATCTTCACACCATCATCATCACCCTGATTATCACCACCATTACTGTTATCACAGCTGCCATCACCATCACCATCATCATTGCTAACAGCACCATCACCATTATTACCATCATCATGATAACATTTATTGAGTATCTACTGTATGTAGGGCTATGATTTATTTGCTCTGGACGTTAACTCATTTAAAAATTTTTACAATTGCTTGAGTAGATCTAATGATTCACTTATTTTACGGATGTGAAACTTAAGACACAGTCTTGCCCAACGTCACACAGCTAGTAAGTGACAGAGTCAGAATTGAATATTGGAAGACTGATTTCAAAGCCTACATATTGAGCCACTTTCTACTCCATTGAATGGCTCATTTTGCAGTTTAAAAATCTGTATTTGAAAATCCCAATTGCACATGGAGCTTGCTTATACAACCTCTGGAGACCAAGACAGGCTCTATGCTGACCCCGGTCTGGTTCTCACTGTTCTCTTTCTGATTTTCCTCTGGAGTCCCTGGGGGACACCTTGAGAAGAGGCCTCTTGAGGGGCATACTGATACAGACTTTGGCAACACCCACCCCTGAGCATCATGCTGGGAGTGCACCCCCTCCATATGTGCAATGAAGCATGATGAATGGTCCTGGACTTGAGTGACATCAGGCACAGCAGTGCAACCTGGCTAGTGAGAACAAGAGATGTCCTTTGAAATCTGTGGCAAGCAGCCAGAGGGGAAGGTGTAGGAGATCATAAATGCAAAGATGAAAGAGGTAGACCCGAAGGACAGTAGAGATAACAGAGGATAGTAGGCAAGWGAGTATACAAATAAAAGAAGATAGGCACTAAATATCTGCAGTGGAAGATGTAAGGATGCAGTGGAAGGAGCCACAATGTAATGGACGGACACAAGATCATTCCCAATGGCCAGCATGGTGAAAAGCTCTGGCTTCTCTCCAGATCTTCAGAATCCAATCTAGGGCTGGAATTCATACTCCAAGAAAGGGTTATTTTCCTTGTTTTACTTGACACATACAACCCAGAGTGAATTAGCAACCCCCCACCTCCACCAAAAATGGAAACAGATATTGCAGGGCATCAGGGTTTCAGGTTGTGAAGTGGCCACCAAAAGTGGAAAYAGCTGGAAAACATGTTTGATTTCTGCTATGGCTAGGGTATTAGTTGAGTGTGTTCCTCAAGGACTCATGTGCTGAAATCCAATCCCCATTGTGAGGTATGGAGAGGGTGGACACTTTGTCCAACCCTAGTGTTCAGAAGTAGGAACTTTGGCAGGTGATTAGAATCAGATAAAGTCATTGGGTGAAGCCCTATGATTGAAAATGGGTAACTTTTCAGAAGAGGGGGAGAGAGATCAGAAGACACATACATGTGTGTTCTCCATCTATCTCCATGTGATGTCCTCTGCTACCTTGGGACTCAGTAGGAAGGATGTCACCAGGTGCAAGTCCTAGAACCTCCAGAATTGTGAGCAAATTAAARATCTTTTCTTTATAAAGCTACCTATCCTCAGGTGTGTTGTTATAATAATAGAAAACAGACTGATAGAGTTTCTTATAAAAATCTGAATGTTTAGTTTCTCCAAAATTGAAAAGATCTGGCAACATCAAGCCCACATCTTTGCAAGGCAGAGGTGTGCTGGCAGATGGTTCACCTGACTGGCACTGTGGGGAAACAAAAGTGCTTTGATTTGTAGAATTTGGCAGTTTTCATGATGGAAATACTCCTCTTTGGCTCATTTCAAGTTATGCCCATGTGACATCCTTAAGATGCACACAATCAGTTCTTCCGAGCCAACCTGAATGAGGGTTTCAGTCCACGGGAGTATTGAGGTGACCCATTTGTCTTCCTTCCCCTAWGAGAACCCACTGTATAGAGCAAACCTAAGGAGAAGGAAAACCTTATCTCACTGCTGGAACCTAGTCCTGCATTTGGGCAACTTCCAGAAGGTTTATCAAGGAACAGTCTGGACAAGGGTCAGTGAGTGACTGAAGGGTCCACAGGCTATCAAATGTGAGAGGTGGAAAGACTGGTCACCTTGGAGGGAGGAAGTGGAGGGACCTTGCAGAGCCTCCYGGTTGCCTAAGGCTCCCAGTGGCAGCTAGAGATGAGGGTGGGTCTGGAAATAGCTGATGGTGTGAATTCTACCTCTGTTCAGCCTCGAGATTGCTTCAGTGCCCTGTCCACAGCTTCCAGTCCAGCCTACCAGTGTCAGGGACAGTGAGAGGGTCACAGCCTGGGGTAGTTATGTGGAATGAGGTTGGTTCCTACCAGGGCAGGCAGGCCTGACTTAACTGGTTTCCCCTAMTGTGGATGACCTGCCTGACACCCCATCCTACCCCTGTTCTTAAAACCTTTTCCTCAATCCTGTGTTCTTGCCTAAAAAGTCATGTTAGTCAAGATGAATATTTTTTTTTATTCCTTTGTCTGGCCCTGAAAGAACTCTACAGAGACCTATAGAGACTAAAGAATCTCTCATAGCTAGTTTTCTTTTTCTGTACTATATACATAATGCTTTGGAAATAAAAACAAATAAAGAGGAAAGTGCAACCACTTTTGATTGTTTGGTGTGTGGGCACAAACTAGGACCAATGGGCACACCACTGTTCTAAGCACCTCAGTGAAGCTTCTGTGGCTTTGCCCTGTGGAGGTAAGGAAGGGAACCAGGTGCCGCCAGCAGGAAAGAGAATACTTGGCTTACAGGGAGAGGTGCAAAAAAATGTTCTGGAAAAGGATAGGCTTCATCTTAGTGATGGGGAGGCCCCGGGAAATTGGCACCTTTGCAGCTACAATAAAGACACTGGTGAGAGGCCCGTGACTTGAGTTCCATCCTTCTTCTATCCAGCCCCTCCTTAAAATTTCTGCTAAATAAAGGATAATATTCCTCCCAGAAATCCTCAGAGGTTACCTGATGCCTACTACAGMAGACATTGAAGTCTGTCTCCTATCTGGTTGGATCCTATCTCTCCAGTCTGATCATTTCTAGCATTTTAATTAATAGATACCAGACATGTCCAGATTTACAGCTGGATGACATGGTGGGGGGTGCCAGGTTCAAATCCTAATCTTGCTATTTTCTAATAGTGGGACATTGGGCAAGTTGCTTTTCTTCTCTAATCTCTGTCTAATTATAGAATGGGTAGAATAGTAGAGCTATTGTAGGGATATGAGAGATGATACATGAAATGTGTGTGGTACAGAAAAGAGTTTTAATGAAGGGTTTTTCACCTTCTGCTTTCCTCTCATCTGTTGCTTCCATTGTCTGTGCAATCCCTACCCAAATCCCAGCATCCCTCTGACTGACTTGAAGACAACATATTTGGACGTCTTGTCCTATATATGAGTCAGAATTCAATTTCTAGCATTTCTTGAATATTCCAAGTATTTATGTCTATTTCAAGAACTAATTATTATTTKTTTTGAAGTTAGGAGTCAAGTTCTATTCACCTGGGCAGCTCCACCCCTGTCTAGCACAGTGATTACTATTCTGTAGGTGTTCAATAAACACTTMATGGATGACTTGGAAGACAAACGGTATGCTGACATAAACTTGACCAAAAATCAACTTCATTGAACAATATTGAGGCTAAACTCCTCATTCACGTAACATTGAGTGAATTAAGCTGTATTGATAGACTTTGACAAGAATATGAAAGAGATGAAATCTAAATCCTGGTCTATAGCTAAAATATAGTCTTTCTAAAGAGCAGGCTCTGCCATTTTGGTTGATCTTTTCTGCATTTCTGTGAAGCACTTAAGACAGACATTGCTTACCCTCATTTTACAGAGAAGAAAACACTCTGAAAATGGCCAGAAAATGGATGCACTTTGGAGGGTAAGGGMAGGGTACTTATATTGGAGAAGAGCCTTCCTCAGACCTGATTTTATAGGGTACAGGAAGGGGCATGCAATGGTAAGGAGGAAGGGAAGTGGTTACTAAGGGGAGGCTGAAAACAGAGGCCACAGTGCTCCACATGAAGACCACAAGGCTGCCCCAACTTCTCCCCCAACTTTTAGTCCCATACCTGCACTGCCACTACTGACAGGACCTCCACRGAGATTCGATTAAACTCATCAAAGCAGCCCCAGGCACCAGTCTGAGCGAGGCCTTTGTAGATGTTGCCGCAAGACTGCAAGGAAATAGACAAGGATTAAATCATCAACAGCTCCAGGCTTATCAATGCCCACCTAAAGACTTCTTCCATCCTCTTTATTATAGATATGTCCAGTGCCCTGAAAACCCCCCGGTCAGARACTTGTATTAAATTTTCAAGAACAATTAAATTTTTGATGGCGATGGTGTGTCAGCATAAACCGCAGAATCAAACAGAACCTTTACAAGATACTTGAGTGAAAAATCTCTTTCAAATGTCATCAAGGTTGCATGACTGTGGATTCTGCAGCTTTCAAACTCCCAGGAAATGAATAAAAGATGATTTTTTTTTCTTACACCATATAGACAAAAAGCCTTCCACTCAGTCTTTGGCATGCACTGATGGAAAAGTTTATGTCTGTATCTTTAAATTCAGGCTGGACCACCCAAGTTTCCCCAGAGTGGTGGGGAGCTGGAGGTGTGGACGGCCTGCAGAACCAGGAAAATAATCTTTCAGATGGGAGGTGAGCAAGAAAAGAATTTCAAAGGGAAGAAGGCATTATTTGTCCTAAAAGTAAAAAAAAAAGTGTTCTAACATTTAATGCGAAGTAGTCAACTGTAGAGCAATACCATACACAATGCCCATGTAAAACTGAAGATGCTTTCAAGGTCACGGGCAAGATGACAACCTTAAAATGCTGGGAAAACACAATTTTAGTGGAAGTCCCATTCATTTATTTGGTGGGGATTTTCCTACTGTCAGCTCTATGCGTAGATCATGTGCTAGATACAGGCAAGCTCAGACCCTCTGAGAACTTTCAGGGAAGTTGCAGAGGCAATGTATATAAAGAAGGGGGGGGGGAAATGCTACATGAATTCTGAATTCCAATGGGTACGACAGAGCACTAATGTTACAGAGTTCAGAGAGGAATGGATCCAAGTGCTCCAGTTTTGCCAAAGAGGTAGTAYCAAAGCACTTTGAAAAATTTATTTCATGAAACACTAGATGTTCCTTGAAGAAAGGTTTTGGAATCAGGTCCTGTGTTCTGGAACTCACTTTTTCTAGATTACAATTATGCACTAGTAGGCTGAGGGGATAGCTTCATGGTAGAGCACTTGTCTAGTATGTGTGAGGCCCCAGTTCAATCCTCAGCACAGGAAAACACACACACACACACACACACACACACACACACACACACACACACATACAGAGCCAGGCATGGTAGTACACACCTGTGATCCCAATGGCCGGGGAGGCTGAGGCAGGAGGATGGCAAGTTCAAAGCCAGCTTTGGMAACTTTGTGAGGTTTTGAGCAAATTAGTGAGACCCTGTCTCAAAATTTAAAAAAAGCAATGGGTTGAGGATGTGACTTAGTGGTTAAGCACCTCTGTGTTCAATCTTTGGTACAAACAAAAAAACCCTACACACACTAAAATTTAAAGGTTTTGAAGTTCTGCAACAAAAATATTGCTTTATTCTGGCAAACATCATTTTAGTGGGAAGATCATAAGAACATTTTCAGAAGACCCAAGAACCAGGATTTACAGAACTCTATGCCTCAGAACACACATGGGAAATGCTGGCTTGTATCTGTGTGGGCAGCATAAGAGAGGAAAGAGTTTCCAGAAGGAGGAAAGATAATGGAAGGAAAACGAGCTAAATAAATGATGTGTCCAGGGAAAAATAAAGGTGCCAATTTGGATGGAAAATTGAATTACTAAAGAGAGTCCTGGTTATAAAAAGTCTTGAATTATTATAAAGGATCTTTGGAGGAGGTTTGGAGCAGAGAACATGATTAAAGCATCATTTTGACAGAATCAAACATCCACATAAACCAGGCTGGATGTGGAGCAGTCTTTAAAGAAAGAAGGAAAACAACTCCCACCTCTTCCTAAGCTCCCGAAATGGATAGATTCATCTATTCATTCAACAACTATTTATTGGGTATGTACAATCTGCCAGAGAATATTCTACGTTATGAAGAATCAGCAATCAAGAAGACAAAGACTCTATTCTTGGGGGGCTTACATTCTATAACAGCAAAAAAAAAAAATCAGATAGGGGTAAGCCCCCTGGGAATCTTAAAATAAGGGCAACATAGTGATTCAGACTGAGTCGTCAAAGGTTATATCTCTGAGCAGGTGAAGTGAGTTCCAGGCACTGGGTTTGTGTGCTTTACATTATTCCATATCATTCTCAAATAATCCTATAGGTAAATATTTTCTATCTATCTACCTACTACCTATGTGTCTGTCCATCCATCTGTCCATCCACCCATCCTCATTCACCCATCCATCTGTCTGTCCATCTATCTATCTATCTGTATGTCTATATGTCTCAACCTGGTAAGTGGTGCAAAAACTAAGTAGAAATTCAGGAACCAACATTCATGCTTTTAAAAGCTTTTTAAAGTTGTGGATCCCTTTCATCAAATGGAAACCTAAGGTATAAAATTTTCAAAAGTAGACTTTCTATAGGTAGATGCTTGTCACCCCACTCATTACTCCCTGAGGACCTGTCGCAGAAGCCCGGACGCCACACCACCCCATTTGTTCACCCCACATACTCATGGTGGCAGCGACCTCACCAGGCCATGAGACAGGGAGCTTCTGGACAGAGATACAGGCCAGAAGGACAGGGTTCAAAAGCCTGGAGGAGAGGGGCATGCTGTAGGGAGCTTCAGTGTTGCTGACAGGCCAGCACTGGGGGAGGAAGGACACCAAATGGCCAGGGTGGCCCAGGTGTTCAGCTGGACCTCAGAGAAATTGAAACCATTTTTACTGAAGGGATGGGAGGGATTGACCTGGCAGGAACAGAAGTGTTAATCACAATACAAGAGAAAGACATCCTAATGGAGATGTTTGCTGCCTCTTCAGAGGCTGAAGTAGAACTTGGGTGAAGTTGGAGAACAGACGTGTGCATTACGTAAAAACGGACATTATGAAAAATGACCGGTAAATGTGATTGGGAGACCAAGAGATCAGAGAGTTAGGTGGAGAGCTGAGGCAGGGTCATGTTTTAGAAGCCTTGGGAGTTGGGAGTCTCCAGGGAGTCTGAGGCTCAGAAAGGCTCAGAGTAATTCCAGACAGTCYCAGGTTCAAACACCATTCGATGTTTCTTCAATAGCATCTTCAAATTGAGGTCAGGGGTGAAGTATTGGCTACTGTAATATCCAGAGCATCTCAGCACTAAAACTGCAACCGTTTCTAGAGACAGAGGCTAGATTTATGAGGTATCTATAGAGGAAAGCAATGACTTCCCCTTTCCCCCACATCTTAATACTGTTCTGTGGCCATACCAGTCCCCCCGGCACATCTAATCCTCATGGAGCTAAATGGGCAGATGCCCCTTATTGAACTCCTGAGGCACGGGGGGACATGAGAGGGTCTACAACTACTGCCCAAACTAAACTCTTCAGCTGCTCTGTTTGCTGTGCTATCCTCTGCAATGTTCTCACCAAAGACCTTTCCTCCTTCCAGTCTCCCCAACTTAATTCATATATATATATATTTGTTTTTACTCCTATTCTGCAGGAGTGAAAGGTCTTTCTCAGCCTAGTTCTTCAAAATTAGATTCTCTCAATAGCTTCTGGTCCTTTCCTTCTTTACTCATCACCTTTCTTCTGCTCCCCCAATGCTCCCTAAGGAACRTCGGCCATTGTTGCATGCTTATTTCTTCTAGCTTTTACTCTAGAGAGCCATGAATGGAATTTATATGGCCAGCTCCTGCAAGAAGAGCTCAGGGTGTCAAGGCAGACTGAGGGTGTAGAGACTGGTATTGTCTCCATGTAAAACTCGGTCCTGGCTTCAAGGCTGATGCTGTAATGGGTTAGGTGTGTTAAAATGCCATGCCCCAGATCTCATGTGCTCCTTAATGTCATCAGCACCATCTGTGGATTTCCTGTGTTCTGGAATGTTCCACGGCTTGGAGCTTGTAAAGTACACATTAGCACCCAGGATTGTGCCGTCTGGGTGCTAATCAGCTCCTCTGATTATTTAGCATGCGTTTTGGCCCTCCTGATCGCCTGACCTATCTATCCATCTTTCTGGTTGACCTATCATCTATTAGTAACCCATCTATCTTCTATTTATCTGATCTATCAATCAACCATTCACCATGTATAACCCATCAATCATGTATGAATGTATCTATCTATATATTTCCTTATCTGTATCATTTGTAGGGTTCATGGTTCCCCCTACTTTCTTTCTTTGTCCTAACCAAAAATAGTGGTTAATTGCCTTGGCCATTGTGTGACCTAGCCAGCTGCAGGATGTATCCAGCAGGCCTGAGCCATTGCAGGGGCTTCGAACATTCCCAGTCACTGATAATAGTGTTTAGATTATCGCTCAAAACACTGAAAGAAACTGGTTTCAGCTCTGATCAAAAATTCCTTAAACCTTCATATAAATTACTCCATGTATTGACCCCCTTGCCAAAGACACTCTTAGGCAGAACACCCTTTTTCTCTTGCTGTCAGGAGAAGTTGTTGCACTTTGAGTTCCTCTAATGAATATTTTGGATTGATCACCAGGGCATTTAGTGCCCTCTCCTCTTCYCTTTCCTCCCTTCTTTTCTCCCTCCCTCTCTTTCTTGTGTGCTGGGAATTSACACAGTGAGCTCATGGCTTTGTGCTTGCTGAGCACGTGCTCTGTCACTGAGCTGCACCCCTAGCCTTCAGTGCCTTCTTTCTTTGGAATCCCATCCAGCCCCATGTTGGGATGATTTGGGGCACTCCCTTGTGGGAAGTCCCCTACGACTGCTTCTGGGGTGACTCCAGCTGCAGATTTGTCAGGATGAAACATCATCTATTTTTGGTTATCCTTCCACAATGCCCAACCCATGCTGAGCAGTACCCAACAAATTAGCTTGATTTCACAATCAAAAGTAACTCCTGAATGACCAAGGGACAAGGAGGCTTGAGAACAGCTTAGTGAGGTTGTCCGGCTACCAGGGATATTTGGTGCCCAGCATGGGTCACCTTTATTCTGGTGTGTGGCATTAAGACTGTACCTTTTGATATTGCTCTGCTCTGTGTCTGGTCTAGATTTGATGGCTGAAGCTTCTCTCATAGTTCAAATGAACCAAGGAACCACTCCTCCTCCTACCTTGTACTCTGAGAGGATTGAGTGGGGTTAGGGCTCAGTGAATTGGGTGAAATGGCCTTGGTGATCCCTGGTTATGTAGTCAACTCATCTCTTCTGTTTGCTACGCTAGGTGTGGCTTTGAAGATGTCCACTGATTGTCTTCATCAATACAGCGCATCTTCTACATCAAAATAAGTATGCCTTTTAGAACTTTCCCCTGGGGAAACTACTCATTGCAGCCATATGGCCAGTTCTCCACTGTACAAGAATCTAGAAACTTAAAAATCATCCTTAAGATTGAATTTATTTCTTTATGGGGGAAACTATATTTTCTTCCAACCTGATTTAAAAAGAAACATTATCTGATTGCACTCATCGAAGAAAAGCAGCTGTGCTAAAATTCAGGGGACATGGACCCAGGGGAGGGCAGTTTTGTTTGCTTGCCGTGAGAACACAGAGTGCTACAGGACTCTGCTAGTCTTTGCACAGAAAAGCCACACACGAGAGAAATTATTAGTTATAGAAGAGTCTCATTTAAAAAGCCCTGTAACTCTTTAACTGCGAGAGTTACGTTGAAATCTCTAAAATGATTTCTACCRTAAACTGATTTTATAAGTGATGTATCACATGATTTATATATTTAATGCAGCAGTTTCTATTTTTCTACTGTAGTTATCTTATTTATAAAAGGGAGGTAAGGCAGTGGACAAAAAACACATACAATATAACAAAATAAAAATAAYGGGATGGTGGACAGTGAGGAAATCTATTACTACAGATTTAGAAAATGAATTCAGCGTGAACAGAACGTTTCTAGCAAAGAAGGGACCCCACGGGCCTTTTGTTTCTCTGGCTTTTCTCTGTGACACAACCTGGAGCACCTTAGTTCTTAAGGATGACAAGTTGTTGAATAAAGCACATTAGCTTTGCACCTGACTCCTGCAGGCATCTCTTGCAAGGAGTGGGGTCAATCTATTCTATTTTAGAAGTCACACTTGGTCTCATAAAATATGACAGGGAATGGCTGCATTCCAGAGAGCTCAAAAACAGTGCCACACAAAGACAGGAGTCTTCATCGGGGCCACTATGAGCCTTTCTGGGCTTCTAGATCAAATAGTAAACTTTATAGGGCTTTAGGTGTATGTTGTTTCTTCATTTTACAGATGATGAAGGGAAAATCCACAAGGTGAAGTTGAAGTCACTCATCTTTGGACACAAAGCTCATTAGTAGAATCAGAATGTGTGGGGCTGTGCCTCCTTGTCACATATGAGGTTTGCAGAGAGGCCCACAAGTTCCAGGGTCAGAGATTCTCAGATTCACTGTGAAGGAGCCAACAGAAACCCCTTTGTCTGAACTCTTTGACCTCGGGGAGCTGGGCCAACAGAGTGTGGATAAACCTTGTGCCTGGTTTGCGCTACCACCCGACTCCTAATCTCTCCCAAAGCTGGGTTGACCTGTACCTTGTAGTCCATCTGCTCCGAGCAGTTAAACACATAAACCATGATGCCCAGTGCTCGGCCCAGGTCCTTGGTGGTCTCGGTCTTGCCTGTGCCTGCAGGTCCTGCTGGAGCTCCACTCATGGTCAAGTGCAGAGACTGGGTGAGGGTGATGTAGCACCTGCCAAGCACAGGAAGGCAAATGTCATCCTCAGTGAAACAGGTGGGCCCTGCAGAGTCCCAGAGAAATCCAGGTTCAAGGCCAGGTGAGATCGGACACAGCTTCYGTAAAGGGATGCTCAGAGCCCAGCCACTCCATCTGCTCCCCACAGAGCTCTGAGGACTTCCCAGAGGGCAACCTGATCCTGGCACCCCTCCTAAAGGGCATCAGCAGATCTCTGCCAGGCCTACCTTGATCTTGACCCTGCCGACTCCCCCAGGTTCACTGCTCTCTGCTGCTCTGCTCCCTCCCCCAGCACAGAAGCCTCTAGCCACAGGGAGCTACATTGGTTTTCCAGACATGGTAGGATTGAACTTGACCCTCTCTCCTCCCCTCATCTTGGATCATGTCACCTGGCTAGTGGTTGGCACCCCCTAGGGACTCATAGTTGGCATTTCTTCACTAGGCATGATCCCCAACACTGGAGACAGTGAGCAGATGAGCTCCTACTCATACATCTTCTGAATGTACTCTTGTGAGATGCACAAAGCAGAGCTATCTCTTATTTATTATTTCATCTCAGAGCCTAGCATATAGCTCCTGGTACATGTAAGTACACAGTAACTATTTATGAAATGGGAATAAATCCATAAATGAATCTATCAATCATTGAATTTACTTAATCTTCCTGGGACTATTTTACTAATGGCAATAAAATAAACCTCCATTTTAAGATTATTTCTGGCACTTTACAAAAAGGATGCAGAGTTCTACTGGTCTCACTTCAAAATGTGCCTTTTGGGCAATAAGCACATGAAAAGATGGTCATAATCCTTGGTCACTAGGGAAATGTCAATTAAACCCCCCATGAGATATCATTACACAGCCCTAAAATGGCTATAATCCAAAAGACAACAATGATAAGTATTGGTGAGGATGCAGAAAAACTGGAAAATTCCTACATTGCTGGTGGGAATGTCAAACGGGATAGCCGTTTTGAAAGACAGATTAAAAGTTTCTTAAAAAGTAAAGCTTAGCAGGTGATTCAGAAATTCTTCTCTTATGAATTTATTTATTCCTCCAAGAGAAATAAATCTGCTTGTTTATTGACCTTGTTCATGTCAGCAGTATTTTTAACAGTAAAAAGCTAAAAACAAGCCAAATGCCTGCCAACAATGAATGGATAAACAAAACGTAATAAATTCATGCAATAGAATACTCTTCAGCATTATAAAGGAATGAAATGATGACCGTGGTACAAAAACAGATGAATTTAAAAAACATTATGCTAAGTGAAAGAAAAGCCAGACACAAAAAATTATATATTGTTATTCCATTTAAATGAAATGCCCAAAAAKACAGAGAGACAGCCAACAGATCAGTGGATGCCCAGGGATGGAGATGGGAGTAGAGATTTACTGCAAATAGTATGAGGGAAATGTTCCAGAACTGGATTGAGATGATGCTTGAACAACACCTATTTACTAAAAATCATTGAATTGTATGCTTGTCATGCGTAGACTTTGAGGCCTGCAAATTATGCCTCAATAAAGCTGTGAAAATTATACCATTGGTCTAACTTTGTAATACTCAGCAACTCAATACGTAGACTCTGAACTTGCAGGCTGGGCGGTCCAATGAGGTATCCAAAGTTAATTCTGTTTCTGAACCTGAATTCTCAGGCTGACCAAAGACAGACCAAACGCAGTTGACAAAAAACACATCCAATATAACAAAATAAAAATAATGGGACAGCGGACAGTGAGGGTATTACTATACATTTAGAAAATGAATTCAGTGTCAACAGAACATTTCTAGCAAAGAAGGGACTTCATGGGCCTTTTGTTTCTCTGGCTTTTCTCTGTGACACAACCTGGAGCACATTATTTCTTAAGAATGACAAGTGTCTGAACAAAGCACATTAGCTTTGCACCTGACTCTTGCAATGAGTGGGGTCACACTCTTCTATTTTAGAAGTCACTTGCTCTCATAAAACATGCCAGGGAATGGCCACATTCCGGAGAGCCCAAAAACAGTGCCATACAAAGAAAAGAGTTGTCATCAGAGCAACRTGTGGGTCTCTGCCTCTTGTGCCAGATGGTGCCTGGATCTCTACACACACTGCACTGAGCCTAGCCACAGAGTGCTTTTGAAAGGACCTGAAGTCAGTTCCTTTCTTCTCCTCTAATGAACTGCAAAATTCCTTTATCTCTCTCACACTTTGAAAGTGAAACCCAGGAAGGCAGATTCCATAAGAAGAGAGGAGAGGTGTGTGGAATTGTTATTTTCATCTCAGATTTTCCTGTGTGATGGGTACAGTGACTCCACGGATCAGGCGAATTGGGATTATATTTAACTTTAATCCGTGGCCATCCAGGATCCTGCAGCTGCCTGTCTTTTTCTGTGGACATTAGGACACTGACCATCAGACAGGCCATGAGGGGAGGTGAGTCAGGGTGAAAGTGAAAAGCTGGGTCTTGTCTTTCTTGACCACTGTTACCATTCAATTACTTTTTTCTCCTCTCAAACATTCATGGCTGGATCTTCATGGTCCTACGTACAGCCTTCTGGACTCTTGAGTTTCTTGCTCCAGACTGGCCCATACCATCCACCTCTCTGGATTCCAGCCCTACACACTTCAGAAGGAAAGGCCTGAAGAAGCAGAGTCCTAACCCCCCTAGGACTCACCTCACCATCTCCACTCTCCCCTACTTTCTGTCCCCCACAGATACCTTCTCTGCATCTAAAGCACCATCCCATGCCCCCTTTTTCCAGAGGCACAAGGGAACACAAGAAATTTGGAAATCTAAAAGGTTTTACCAAATAGAAATTTCATAGAAAAACTTAAGAATCCTTTGAAAGAAATCTTTGGGACTAGATGCACTCTTGTTTTGAGYATCTAGTGAGTTTCTGGTTATCTCCAGGAGCACTGTGGGGGAAATGACAAAATATTATTTCTCCCCCAATGACAATAAAACTCATGGGCTGAGAGACATTTCCTAAGTGGATTAATCCAATTTCCATATTTTACAGATGAGTGGACTGAGGCCCAGGGAGAGAAACTGGGCTCTCTAATGAGTCCTCTTAAGAGAGGATGAGTGGGGTTTTATCACAAAGTTCTTTTATTCCCCCCACCCCCCGTACCATAATTTATATATTTTTTAAATTTTTATTTGTTATATATGACAGCGTAATGCACTATAATTCAAAGTACACATATAGAGCATACATKTTCATATCTCTGGTTGTACACACAATAGAGTCACATCCTTCTTGTCTTCTTACAGGTACTTAGGGTAATGATGACCATCACATTCCTCATCTTTTCTACCCCTATGCCCCCTCCCTTCCCTTTTCCCCTTTGTCCTATCTAGAGTTCATTTAATCCTCCCACCCCACCCCCACAGCATATTGTGGATCAGCATCCTTAAATCAGAGAAATCATTCAGCAATTGGTTTTGGGGATCAGCTAACTTCACCTAGCATTATATTCTCCAGCTTCATCCATATACCTGCAAAATCCATGTTTTTATTCTCTTTTAATGCTGAGTAAAATTCCATTGTGTATATATGCCACATTTTTTTTATCCATTCATCTACTGAAGGGCATCTAGGTTGGTTCCACAGTTTAGCTATTGTGAATTGTGCTGCTATAAACATTGATGTGGCTGTGTCCCTGTAGTATGCTGATTTTAAGTCCTTTGGYTATAGACCAAGGAGAGGGATAGCTGGGTCAAATGGTGGTTCCATTCCCAGTTTTCCAAGGATTCTCTATACTGCCTTCCATATTGGCTGCATCAATTTGCAGTCCCACTAGCAATGTATGAGTGTACCTTTTTACCCACATCCTCACCAACACTTATTGTTGTTTGTCTTCATAATGCTGCCATTCTGACTGGAGTGAGAGGAAATCTTAGAGTAGTTTTGATTTGCATTTCTCTAGTCACTAGAGATGTTCAACATTTTTTTCATATGTTTGTTGATTGATTATAATCCTCTTCTGAGAAGTGCCTGTCAAGTTCCTTCGCCCATTTATTGATTAGGTTATTTGTTTTCTGGGTTTTTTTGGTGTTAAATTTTTTGAGTTCTTTATATATTCTAGAGATTAGAGCTCTATCTGATGTGTGTGTGTGTTACGAATTTGTTCCCAGTTAGGAGGCTCTCTATTCACTTCACTGATTGTTTCTTTTGCTGAGAAGAAGCTTTTTAGTTTGAATCCATTCCATTTATTGATTCTTGATATTAATTCTTGTGCTATAAGAGTCTTATTGAGGAGCTTGGGGCCTAATCCCACATGACAGAGATTTGGAATAAAAGTCATTTCTGTATATCAGTGACAAATCCTCTGAAAGGAAAATGAGGAAAACTACCCCGTTTAYAATAGCATTAAATAAAATAAAATACTTGGAAATCAACTTAACAAAAGAGGAGAAAGACCTCTACAATGGAAACTACAGAATGCTAAACAAAGAAATTAAAGAAGACCTTAGAAGATGGAAAGATCTACCTTGCTCTTGGATAGGCAGAATTAATATTGTCAAAATGACCATACTACCAAAAGCACTATACAGATTTAATACAATTCCAATCAAAATTCCAATAACATTTCTCATAGAAATAGAAAAAGCAGTCATGAAATTCACCTGGAAAAATAAGAGACTCAGAATAGCTAAAGCAATCCTTAACAAGAAGAGTGAAGCAGGTGACATCACTATTCCAGACCTTAAACTATACTCCAGAAAAACAGTAACAAAAACAGCTTGATATGGGCCCCAAAATAGACTTGTAGATCAATGGTACAGAATAGAGGACATAGAGACTAACCCACATAACTACAATTATCTTATATTAGAGAAAGGCGCCAAAAACATACATTGGAGAAAAGATAGCCTCTTCAACAAATGGTGCTGGGAAAATTGGAAATCCACATGTAACAAAATGAAATTAAATCCCTATCTCTCACCATGCACAAAATTCAACTCAAATTAGATCAAGGACCTAGGAATTAGACCAGAGACACT